AAATGCACGAATCGTTCAAATTATGCTAGTCTCTTCTCCTCTCGATAAACTGAATATCTCGTTGGCCTGAGTAAAAAATGACTCTTGGAATATCTTCTCTTTACGATAAACTGAATCTCTCGTTGGCCTGAACAGTGACTCTTGGAATATAAGTAGAAAAATATGACTTACAATCTTTTACTGGATCAGCTTCTGTCAGATACACTAACTATAGGCTATTCCACGAATATACGACTGTTTTGGTTTACTGCGACAACGAATATTTTACTGTGCAAGTAGAAGTATGAAGGTCAATTGGTCTAATCATTATTCCAATAAAAAGGGTCTACTAGTATGACATCTAAACTAAAATTATTTCAGTTAAAATCTACAAATAAATACAATGACGTCTATGAAGCCAAATGTGTTCATCAGACATTTGGGTAAGCTTTCCGTGAAATGTAAACACCAAAGAGGCGTGCCGGGTTTCTTTGATATAACACATTTTATTATTTTATTCGGTATTACAACTGTAATAAAAATAAATATACCATTTTTAATATAAATGAAAAGAAATTGGCAGAACGATGGTTCACAAACCATAAAAAGGATCTAGTATTTCTCTTTTTTAGTTTTAAATATTTGTTTGCTTTGAGTTTATGTACTCTTAAAAGTTCCGAAAGTAACGGGTATAACATACCGGCTATTGAGTACCGAGTCGTTACAGATATTAAAAAGTAACGAACATTTATATACAGTTTCATATATCGCCGACTGATTATGGCTGTGAATCTGATCGTTGATGATAGTTTTAGAGAATTATTAGGAGAATAAGTAAATAAGTAAGTTTTTTTGTTTTTTAATATTAATTGAATATTCGACTAAAAAATTTACACTATTTGATAACTTAAGTATTGTTACATTTCGTTTAAATCACATAATTCAAAAACCAACTTCTTTACAATGCAATAATTGAAATGAAAAAATAAACTCCATGATAGTAATTATATACTTCAAAATCTGAATTACAACTGTTTTATAAACTATTAACTTTATATTTATATCATGACTTCATATTTAAATCTAAGGTTTATATCTGCCGTAACAGTATTTTAAAAATGGGGAGAATTTACTATTGTACAATTCAGTACATTGGACCATTTAAATCGACACCTTAAAGCGAATTTAAAACAGTCGTATATTCGTGGAATGGAGTATACACGAAAACTCACAAACTTTCACTGCTACTGCTTCCTACCTCTGGGAAACTACCCGAGAACAACGGCCGTTCACCTTGCACCCTTGGAAACCAACTGACTATATTTTTTTTCTTCAAAACTAACTAAAGCCTCATTCTCAAACCAACCATCTCACCTTTTTCAATCTCATCCAATCAAAACGCGTCATACATCTCCCATTTCTTCATTTTGATAACACAAACAAATTTTTACCTACAATTATATAATTTCCTAAAACTTATTTACAAACTAATCTTTTTCTACCAATTCTTATGAACTAACAAAAACATATCTTTCTAAAATCTATTCTATTGTCCTAATTACTGCACAAATTTATTTGGAAAACCCGCTTCCATTGTCTAGCATTTCACTTAAGCTCATTCACGTCACTCAAATATATTTTAACAAAGAAAATAATTTATGCATGTCTTACGTTTTGTTCAATATAGGTAATCCAAAGATAAAGGACTTTCATTCTTCGAAATGTTTGTAGTTTATTATTCGACTTATCTGAATTATTGTAATTTTTTTGAACTTTGAAATATTTTAAGCAAACTAATATTTTTTTTAAATTTACATATCATAACAATATATATATATATATATATATATATATATATATATATATATATATATATATATATATATATAATCCTGAACTTGTTCTATTTCATCTTGTCCGATCCTAATTGTGATGTCTTCATCTATATTTGTTATGATTTTGGTCTTGCTGTAATTCATATTAAGCCATATCTTTCCAGCTTCTACGTCCAGTTCTTTCATCATTTCAAACAATTCTTCTTTTTTATCGGTTTCAATACAATCCTATCAGCGTACCTTAGATTATTCAAGCGTTGTCCACAAATTTTTATACCTTTTTCTTCACATTCTAATCTTTTAAAAGTATCTTCCAGAGCCTGATTGAAAAGTTTCGGTGATATTGTGTCACCCTGTCTTACGCCTCTATTTATTTGTATTGATTTTGTTCCTTCATATACTTCAATTATTGTTTTGCCTTGCTTATAAGTATATATTGGCTATTAGTTCCGGATATCTGTGGTCAGTTCTACTGTTAATCTAAGAACTTTTCACTGCCCAATGTTCGACACTGTCGAAACCCTTTTCGAAATCTATGAACGCTATATATAGAGGAAGGTGGTATTCATTTGCTTGTTCTATAAGTATTTTCATACTTAGTAAATGGTGACTTGTGCTGTGATCCCTTTCTAAAACCAGCTTGTTCTTTCGACTGGTATCCATCGAATTTTGTCCTCGATCTATTGGTTAAAATGTTTGTTAGGAGTTTATACATTACATTGAGGAGTGTTATAGGACGGTATTTTTTTATATCTGGTTTATCCCCTTTCTGTGTAGATAAGGTTACGATTCCTCCAGTTGTTTGGATTCTTTTTTCTTTTAATATCTTGTTAAAAAGGGAATGTAGAGTATTAATTACCACTTTTCCACCATATTTCAGCATCTTTGCAGTTATTCCATCTTTTCCAGGCGCTTTGTTGTTTTTTATTTCTTTCAATGCCTTCTTTATTTCTGATTTGCTTATTTCTGGCTGTATTTCTGAGTCGACATTTGACACTGACAAAGAAGATTTACCTTATCATCTGACCACTATTCAATATTCTGTTTTTTGTATGAGTTTCATAATATTTCTAATAATAACAACATTACTTAACGGGACTAGCACATAAGCTAAAATCGTTATGACGTTCAATTTCACTTGAATCGTTCTCATCGAGAACGACGTCGAAGGAATTGAAACGCAATAAATTTTTCTTTAATTGGTATCCCATTAAAGTAATTATTTACAATGCCACAGAAAATAGCTTCAGAACATATAACAACTCTTTAATGAATAAATTAATTCAAAGTTATTTTTCAAAGTGAAAAACAACTAACAAATTTAAATTATAATCAAAAATGATCTTACTCACTATTTTCCACATTTTGCTGTGACATTAGAAATTTTTTAACCTTACCTGTTTCTGTAGTTTCAGAGAAAAAAGTTTTAGTAACATAAAAATCTTTAAAAAGTACTTTAGCAATACAGTATATGACACCAGAAAGGCTTACAGATTGGCACCATTTTTATCGAGTCAGAATTCTTTGAATTGGCCAAAATTATTGACAAATTTGCTTTCCGAAAAGTTAGTTTATAAATAATTATTAAGACTATTAGGTAGAGAGGAGCTTTCTTTTTCATTGAGTTAACAGGCAATAAACAAATAGCTTTTCGCTCTTGCAGATTCACAAGCACATAGCTGGCTAGTGCGTGGTGACATTATGCGTGCTAAATAGTAGCTATCTTAAAATTTCTATTCACTCGATACAGACATAATTTCGACAGCACGTATTAGCCTGCAGTGTGCTTTTGATTCTGTAAGGGCGAAAACCAATTTGGTTAAAAACTTTCTACTAATCTGCAGCTTCTAGAGAGATATGTAGCATGTAAAAAGTTACGAAGCATGGACGTATACGAAGACTTAAAGTTTAAACTTTCTAGTTTTAATATGTGTAAATATTGCTATATAGTTTTTGCTTACTTATCAACCGTCAAGAAAATGACGTAGAGGTTTTCCAACTTTTTTCGATGTAACTTCACCGATAATTGCACTACATTAGTTTTTGTATATGTAATATTCTTACTTTGTAATGTCACTCTCATATATATGCAAAGAACTTCAACGTTTCTGTGTTAAATTCCTGTACGCTCGTACCTTATGCTTAACTTTATGACATGAAGTAAAACAATGTGGAATTCATTCCTATTACTATCTTAGAACGTAGCACTCTCATTAGAAATTCTAATGAATGCCTAAAGATATTGGTTTTAATGTAATCCTAACTGTCGATAAAGATTTTTTAATAATGAGCACACAGTCCAGCTGTACCACAACAGATCAATAAAATGTAAATGAGATCAGATGGAAATCGGTTAATGGTATGCTTTTGAAATACTTATTGAACCACTTGGTAGGATATTTATATACAAAATCAGCTGACATTGGTATAGAAAATACTAATGGCTGTAACTGTTTAATATCCATAATATAATATATTTTTATTTTATAAAAGTAGTGTAGTGAGTACAATATAATAGTAGTGACCTTTTTGTATGCGTGAAAGGAAGGATAGTTGAAAACTATTCTGTCTGACGTAAAATTTTTCGTTGAATACGAATATGTAAGTTACCCAACTTAAAAAGTGGTACCATTAAATTTTTATTAACAACTAGTGATTTTACACCTCATCATGCAACGGATTTGCGTGATTCTAGATTGTCAATTTATTTGTTCGAAAAGCTCGAGTTTTTTACTATATTTTTTATCGATCACCAAATTCGCGCGCAATTTTTTAGGATCAACAAAAAATTTTCAGAAGAATTAAAATTAAATTTTTAAAATAGTAAACTTCTTGCATGAAAGGATCGATCTTTTCATCTTCATATAAATATTGTAGAGAGATATCTGACAGATATTTATCTGAAGAATAGACATTTATTTATAAAATAAAGTATACCCGTATTGTCACATTAAATTATGTTGCGGTTACTTATCTGTAAGATAAATATAAAATTTATTTCGGATCACACCAATATTTACTTGATTAATCTACTTAAGAATCTGACAACCTAGGTACTATGTTCATATTTTTGGAATCCTTTACTACTAAGGGCGTGATTTGGTTCTTATAAGTTTAAAACTATTAAATTATTGATTTGTAGATTCAATGATGTGCTTTATTATAAAACGTTATTTTTTGTTGCAGGGATCCCCAACATGGAGTCCCTAAACCTCAGTGGCTGTTACAACGTGGCCGACGTGGGTATCACGCACGGTTTCTCCACTGAATGTCCATCACTCACCCAGCTGAACCTTTCCCTGTGTAAACAAGTTACTGACAACTCGTTGAGCAGGATAGCGCAACATCTGAAGAACCTAGAAGTATTAGAGCTGGGTGGGTGTTGCAATGTCACTAATACCGGTTTGGTGCTCATCGCCTGGGGACTAAAGAAGCTTAAGAGACTGAATTTGAGGAGTTGCTGGCATGTTAGTGACCAAGGAATAGGACACTTATCCTTCGCGAACCAATCTTTGGAGTATTTAGGTAAGTTGATAATTGTTAACACCAAAACAGTATTATTGAAGCATATATTAAAAGTGCTTTAATTTATATCTTTGGTAACATATATACCCGAAGAGTTGTACTTATTTTTTTGCATTTATCGTTATCGAGAGCTCCGTTTGGCTTCTTAGATCGTTTATTTTTAAAACAAATTATTTTTTATTATTTTAATAAGGCTCTTTGAAATAAGACTGTCTTTAAACCAATAAGCCTATAAATCAGCTACTTAATAAGGGTAAGTTTTTTGTACTCCTAAATGTACACATTTTTACAGAAGTCAAATGAGATTATCACAAGGCAAATTTTATGATGTCTGATGAAAATACGGAGCTCATGTTACCAATGACCACAGAATCAAAACAATAGGTATTACAGATTCTTAGAAGCCAGATACTTTCTCATATCTTAAATGCTCGTACATCTCGCACAATAATATACTCTCAAACCACTTTTGGTAGGTACAGGAATAAGGACAAGTATTTCAAATTTAAAATAGGAAAAGAGTATCACTTAATTCTAAAATAAAAACAAAATAGACACTGAGTAATAGGATATATGTAACAGAATAATTCAGCGAGCTACACATTATGTGCTTAGCACAGGAAAAATACATATGTACGTTGAAGGAAAAACGAAAGTATATTATGGAAAAGCTTAATTATTAAAGGAACTTAAGTTCTTAAACAGCATAGCAAAATTATTATTCAAACTGCGACTTAGGAAATCTTCGTATCTTCATATTAATCTTCATACTAAGGAAAAATGCCCAATGTTTATGCCCAATGTTTGCCTCTGGACATTTTTTTTGCGTTTAGTAGTCTTAGTAGTTTATTTGTCTTTCTTCTTGTTTACTTGTTAGTGTTACTCCTAGATACTCAGACTCCCATCACCTTTTTGAAGCCATTCTCTTTACTTGTTGGTTGTGGTAGTCTTCAGTTGTTTAGTCTATCCCATTTCTATATACTTGGTTTTTTGCTCATTAATAATCAGTCCATACTGTTTAGCCTACGTCTTCAAAGAGTCTTCAAAAATCCTAAGCAGTTCCCCTTTAGTTCTTGCCATCGACACTAAATCGTGCCATGACCTAGCTTTTGTTGTCATAAATCATACCTTTCGTTCGTATTCCACTCTCTCTAATTATTGCTTCCAGCAAGAAATTTAAGAGTATTGTATCGTTTGTAGCAGTATTATGGATAGCCTATTGTCGGTCTTCATTAAAAGCATTTTTACTAAAGTCTGATCACCTTTTCCGGAATTCCAAGTAGTCTAAGGGTATGGTACAGACGCCTTCCTATCCAAAATCGTAAGTTTGTTTGAAATCTATAAAGAGGCAGTTTAGCTTTAACTTTTGCTCGTATGTACTGCTCTGAATTATTTTTATACACGAATATATAATCTATGGTGAATATGTTTTTTGAATCTTCCTTGGTATTCACCAACCTGCTCTTTTAAGTGCCTTTCCAGTCTACTTCCTATGACTCTGGCGAGTACCTTATATGTTACATCCAGGAGAGTGATACCTCTGTAGTTTTCGCACACCGCTTTATCTTCCTTCTTATGAATGGGACATACTATTCCATCCCTCCATATTTCCGGCATTTTCTCTCGCTCCCTAGATTTTCGTTAGCAGGCTACATATCCGCGTTATAAGTGCTTCTCCCCATGCTTGATTAATTTTGCAGGAATACCATTGCTGCCCTGCACTTTTATTATATAAATATATATGATTTCTCTTATTTCTTCCACCGTGTCGTTGACTTCGCTTGCCATTTCTACTTGCTCCTCATCATTTTTATCCGGTTCTTCATTAAGCAGCTTTCTGAAATGCTTGTGCCATCTATTTAGCCTAACCTGCTTATCTCCTATTAGATTCCCTTCTTTACTCTTGAGTAATTCTGTTGTCTTGCGCCTTGGTCACGGTTCCTTTTCGCCTCCCGGTAAAAGTTTCTCACGTTTTTATTAATGTAATGTTCTTCAATTTCTTGAAGCTTTTTATCCATACGCTCCTTTTTCTTCAATCTACACCAAGGCAAGGGTACTTCGCGAGATGGTCTATATTTTCTTAGTTGAATTAAAACGTATCTGAGCCATTTTCCAGGTATATTCAGACTCTTTCCATCTCGGCAAAAAGCTTGATGCTCTGCTTGATTAAATAAAATGGTTGTCTTAATCTGTAAACCGAAATCCCTCTCTTGCTATATCTACAGTAGCAGTTTTTGCCAATGCTGTGGAAAAGAGACCAGCCACATGGTAAATGGAGAGAACCTGTCCTGGATGGGAACTGGTCCAGCTGTCCAGCGACACTCGCATAGTAAGCTTTTAATGGTTTGAAAAATGCCCAATCGAATGACTGGTCTTATGTGCTATGTGGTGGCAGACTTAATAAATGGATGAAGTTATATTTTACAAATGTTACTGCTTGAAGACTTGTGTGCAATACATGATTATCTAGAATCAGAAGAACGGGGTTCTCCTCTGTTGGACTTGTATGTTTTTTTAAATGCTCCAAGTACTTGACAAATGTTGGAGTGTTCATGTAACCACTATCAGTAACAGCCATGTCACAGGCAAAGGGCCCGTTTTTGATTAGAAGATTTGTCCGTTTTCGAGCAAATAAGAAAAATGGAGGGACATGGCGACCAGTTGCACTCATACAGCAAACAGCCGTAATTGTTTGTCCTTGCTCTGCAGCTACAGCTTCTGCTACATCTCTTTCCAACTGGGGCAACATGTTTGGGCAGATGGTTTGGAACTGTCTGAATGTTTGTTTCGTCGACGTTATAGATATGGTTGGGAGATAACTTACATTTTTTTATGGTGGTCTCCAAAATTTCTAAATACTGAGCTAGTTTCACTCTATTGAAGCCCATGGTTCTAGCAATACTTGTTTTTCGTGGAATTCGTAAAGATAGTCGGTTTCTTTTCATGAAAGATCTAGTGAAGTCCAGACCAGCCAACTGATTTACAAGATGTCTACGGTTCTACACAATAGAGACTTCAGGGATCATCCCATAAAATCGTTTGTCGAGTTCCTTGCAATGCTGAACTATTTCGTTTTCTTAGATCTTGGTTGGAACTGCTTTAAACCTGCCTAAAGACTAAATACCATTTTCTTTTTTCAACCTTTGCTGTAGTGTCACTTCATGAAGTCCCACAGCTTTTGCTGTTTGGCGTATAGAAACGCCATTAATAGTAAGTTCACGAACTTTGCACAAAATAACTTCTGTCAAAACCTTGCGCTTTGATTTTCTTTTGTAGTTTCTGGAAAACAGAAACCAAGATTTAAATGAATTGAATATTTAATTCCGAAATTAGTAGAAACAAATTAATTTATGATAATGGGAAAAATACGAATTCGTAGTTTTGATCCATAACTCTCGCGTATTTTTGCCCCATTCTGCAACACTGTCAAAACCATCTGTTGAGATTTTAAGGACCTATTCTCAATCAATCTCTTAACATAATAATTCATAATCAAGCCAAGAAAACACCCGAAATAAACTATTGTTATGCCAATATTACAGTGTAATACTAAAAAATAATATTTATCTCATAGTTTGTACACAACGCCTTGAATCAGCTTTAAACTTGGAAGCACACTGTTGCCAAATGTTTGTAACTAAAATCAGTTTAAACTGGACACAAGCGGCAAATTTAAATGAACTTGCTAATATTAAAAAAACTTATGCTAATATTGATGTCAGATTTGAAGTTTCTACGTATCTCCGAAAGTTATACCTTTCCGAGTCTTCGTATAAACCTAATTAACAGCCCTGGTACTAATAGATTTCATTCTTCTTCTTCTTCTAGTTCCATGACCGTTATCGATCGTTGGATATCATGTTGGCTACCATATTCGCTATCGTGACTTTATTGACAGCAGCTCTAAATAACGATGTAGTTGATTTTCCATACCATTGCCTTAGATTTTTCAGCCATGATGTTCTTCTTCTACCAGGACCACGATTACCTTGGATCTTTCCCTGAATGATCAGATGTAAAAGATCATATTTTTCAGGGTGTCTCATAATATGACCGAAGTATTCCAGCTTGCGTTTCTTTATTATATTGACCAGTTGTGTTGTTTGGTTCAGCCGTCTAAGGACCTCCTCATTTCTAACTCTGTCGACCCAGCTTATTTTCAGTAGTCGTCTGTATACCCACATCTCAAAGGCTGTCAAGCGTTTAAGCATAGCCTCAGTTAGGGTCCACGCTTCTACTCCATACAGCAGGACAGGAAAGATGTAGCAAGATATCATACGAACTCTAAGGTCAATGCTAAGATCATGACTGCAAAGTACGTTTCTCATTTTTACAAAGGCAGCTCGGGCTTGTTCTATTCGGCTTTTAATTTCTGCGGTTGGATCCCAGCTCTCATTGATATTACTGCCGAGATACACGAGTTTCTCTACTCTGTCCAGTGTGGCATCTCCGATTTTTATACCGTCATCATGTATATAATTTTGTTTGCTAACTATCATATATTTAGTTTTCTTAACGTTGAGTTTTAATCCATACTGATCACAAGTCTGTTTTATTTTGTTCATTAGATTTTGAAGGTCTTCTCCGCAATTGGCAAGGACTAAGGTATCGTCGGCATATCTAATATTGTTGACGGTTACTCCATTCACAATAATACCTTCGGTTGTCTCTATTAGGCTTCCTTAAATATTTCCTCCGAATATAAGTTAAAAAGTAAAGGCGACAATATACAGCCTTGTCTCACTCCTCTTTTTATATTTATTTCATCCGACAGTCTTTGTTCAACCTTTATTCTTGCCACTTGATGCCAGTATAGATTTGTAATTATTCGTAGATCTTTATCGTCCAATCCAGCTGTTTCCAATATTTCTAACATTTTGTTATGTCGGACTTTGTCAAAAGCTTTTTCAAAATCGATTTCACAAATATACACATTTTGATTTATATCTCTGCATCTCTGTACTAGCACCTGTATACTAAACAAGGCTTCTCTTGTACCC